TGTCACCCCTCACTCTGCCCCCTGTTACCTCCTCACTCTGCCACTTGTCACCCCCTACTGATATAGGAAAAAAATAGTTGTGGCACACTCAGACTACAAAAAATATAACACAAAGAAGGTTTCTAAATTGCCTATCTAAGAATAAATATGGGGATTTAGTTCCACCAAATGGCCATATGATGTTAAGCCCACCACTGCTTTAAAAGTACCCCAGTGGGGGGTGTGGCCTGACAGCTCAACTGAACGGTCGCATGAGCTGTTAGCTCCTCCGTGAACCGACCCTCCACAGCGATTATTTAAGCAGTGTTTGCCCTAAACCACCCACAGAACCGTGCAAAGACCTTACCACAAACCATGGCATCGAAATCTGCCAAAAAATCGAAGCACAAACAGACCCTGTTGCGGGTCCAGATGCTCTCCCCGCTGCGCTCACAGGCCCAAGATGGCGCCGAAGCACCCAGATCACCGGCAACATACTCAGACAACAGTGACCTCACTTCGGTCTCTGATCCAGCGGCAGCCCCAGCCACAGACCTTTCGGTCCACAAGATGTTACGGGCCATGCAGACCTCCCTACAGGCAGATATAACCAAGATGGCGAGAGAAATCAGAACGGATATTCAGGCGCTGGGAGATAGGACATCGCGCCTAGAAGACAAATCTGAGGAACTCATATCTGCACACAACGCTTTAGCAGACGCTTATGCCGAAATAAAGGAACAACTGGACCGCCTAACAGAAAAAGTGGCGGACCACGAAGACAGGGACAGACGCAGCAATATCTGCCTACGTGGAATCCCGGAGGATGTATTACCTCAAGATCTTCAGGCCTACGCCACATGCCTCTTCCAGCACCTAGTCCCAGACCTCACACAGCGGGACTTCCTCATTGACCGCATACACCGGTTGCCAAGACCGAGATCGCTGCCTGCATCTGTCCCGAGGGACACAATAACCAAACTACATTATTATACTACTAAAGACAGCATTATGAAAGCATCCAGACAAGCTCACGGCCTACCGGAGAAATTTGCTGGTATCCAGCTCTTCACAGACCTCTCCGCCTCCACGCTGTCGAAGAGGAGAGAATTTACCCGCATCACAAGAGCCCTGCGAGACGCAAACATCTTATACAGATGGGGTTTCCCGGCCCGACTGATCGTCAGACGCAACAGCGTGGACTGCCACATTACCAGCATGGAAGAAGGGAAAAGGATTCTTGCAGAATGGGACATAACCATACCCCCACAATGTGATCCAAGCACCCAGAGTGAACTCAGACGACCCCCATGGAAGGTGCCGTCCGACTGGGACACAGCAGCCTCAGCTAAGTGACTTTGCCGCAGGCATAAATGCAAACTGTCTCTTCCACACTAGGGCATTTTAGCCCAACACTTTCACCAAGAGACTTTATTTGCTGTGCCCCAACTCCTTCTCTTAAGGTTTTCCTCTCTGTTTGTTTTGCTCCTTTGCTCCTTCCCTTTCTTTTCTTATGAGTTATTAACTGTTCACTAAACAGTTTTATATACATGCAATAAGGACCTAGATGCCAGGGAGAGAGTGAAAGGGAGGGAAGGGCGCAAGGAAGGGGAGTATACAGTTGGGCCTCGTAGCTGTGGCGGGGCCCCCGGATTGGGCCCCCACACAGCGGCGATGCAAAAGATGGGAGTATGGGCAGCCGTCACAGGGAGCGATCCCTGAGGGTGCCCGAAGTCCCACCCCAAACCCTAGCAGACAGACTTATAAGCTGCTCCGCACCAAAGGAAACAACGAAAACCAATGCAGCAGCAATGCCACAATAACATTGTTTCCCCCCTGCCAGACCTTGCCACATCATCAGACCACCAGATCGGGGCCCAGAGATACAGGAAACATCAACACAGGGCAAACACCAACCCCTGATACTATTGAGGGCCGACCACTGTGTTGCTAGCCACAACTTCCCCCCCCCCAGGCTCAAAGGAGCCATGTTTTCACCGTCTAAGCCACAAGGCGCTCTCCATGACGGTACTATGTATATAGTTTTTATCACTCTGCTATTCTGTCACAGGACTCGTTCCTGGTACCCACCCTAACCCCACAACACCCCTACCCCACCACGATATCGACAATGGCACATGACACACTACGAAGGACCACTTAGGACCACCAAACTGGTTGGACATGCTCCAACGCTACACGGGCCATACCGTGGATCATACCACGTGAACACTGAAAGATTAACACCCACTATCCTCCTGGCGAAGCGGGAGGTCAAACACCTGCCGAACCACCCTTATAGACCTTGCGGACAGGCTCTAGCGACAGAAGCCCAATACCCCTCAAGATGAGGCACAAAGAGAAAAAAAAAAAAAATGCAAATCAACTGGCCTACATCAACTTCCAAAAAGCTGCCCACCACCACACACATAAATGACACTTAACATACTGTCTTTAAATGTTAAAGGTTTAAACTCTCCTCACAAACGAAGACTAGCATTAGAGGAAGCGAAAAAGCATAAGGCCCATGTTGCATTCTTCCAGGAAACACACTTTCAATGGGGACATCGCCCCAAATTTTGTTCGAAATTATTCCCCCACGACTATCACTCTTGTTTCAAAAAGAAGAAGAGAGGGGTATCCATACTAATAGGACAATCGGTAGCATTCTCCTTAGTTAAGAAAATTGGTGACAAAAAAGGACGTTATCTCCTGCTCCAGTGCTATATTAATAACGAGCCATATACACTTCTCAATATATACAGCCCACACACAAACCAAACAGAATTCCTAGACAATGCATTCGCCCTGGCAAACCTGTACAGATTCGGGGAACTCATTATAGGAGGGGACACTAACTTCCTCTTAGAGTGCTCACTGGACACAACCTCAGCACACAAACTTACAGCACAGTCCGCACGCAAATTATACAAAACCACCTCCTCACACTGCAATCAGATATTACACAATAGCTTCTTGGATCCGTGGAGAATCCTCCACCCCTTGGACCGAGACTACACGTTTCACTCCTCCGCGCACAACACTTATACGAGGATAGACAGATTCCTCATACCTACTACAACAATACACAAAATCCTAATGGCCCAAATAGGCTTGATAACTTGGTCGGACCATGCCCCAATAACATTAACCCTAGCAGAAAAATACCCCACATCGGGTAAAGGGAACTGGAGACTAAACGACTCCCTATTACTGGATCCAAATATCGCGGATCGCACAAAAGCAGACATCATCTCATACTTTCACACGAACATGACCCCAGATGTAGATATGACTACTGTGTGGCAAGCACACAAAGCAGTCATACGCGGAACCCTTATCAGAGCTGGCAGCTATGCCAAAAAACAGCGACTTAAAGAATACAACGCGCTGATCTCGGAAATCACGAATCTCACACACATTAACAGGACCGCACCCACACGAACCCTACAACACCAACTACTGACATTACAATCTAAACTCTGAGACACAGAACTAAAAAAAACGACTTATGCGCTTAGACGCTTTAAATACAACTTCTTTACGCAAGGTAACAAGGCAGGAGCGCTGCTAGCAACACAACTCAAGGCACGCACCACCAACTCAAAAATAGCCTACATTACCACTGACTCAAAACAAAAACTTACGAACCCGCAAGACATAGTCGACACATTTGCCTCCTATTACAGTACGCTTTACAACCTCCAAGACAATCACGAAACCACGCCACCCCCTGGACCTACCATCCAAGACTTCCTGGCTAAAGTTGCCCTCCCCAAACTGACACCGGATGATATAGCCTCCCTATCTGCACCATTCATTGTGGAAGAAGTAGAAAACACTATCGCAAAACTACCCAAACACAAAACGCCAGGCCCAGACGGCTACACAAATTTTTACTACCAAACATTTGCGCGTACACTATCACCTCATCTAACCACGTTATTCAACCACTGCTTTGTGAAAGGCTCCATGCCTCCTGAGATGCTGAAAGCCCACATCTCCACCCTCCCGAAGCTAGGGAAATCCCCAACACAATGCCCCAACTTCCGACCCATCTCCCTGCTAAATGGAGATGTCAAACTATATGCCAAGCTCCTTGCCAACCGCCTGTCCGACATTCTCCCAAGGCTTATACACAATGACCAATCCGGCTTTGTAAAGACGAGACAAGGCTCAGATAATACTAGGAAAATCCTTAATATCCTCGCACACACACACACCAACCAAAATAAAGGCCTCCTCCTAGCGCTAGACGTGGAGAAGACCTTCGACAGGCTCAATTGGGACCACATGCAACAAGTCTTGCAAACATTCGGCTTCACCCCGCCAATACTCTCTGGCATTATGGCCTTATACAACAACCCAACAGCACAAGTGGGAAACGCGGGATTCTTATCCACCCCATTCAATATCACCAATGGCACCAGGCAGGAATGCCCCCTCTCACCTTTGTTATTTGTCCTCTCCCTGGAACCGCTGGCGTACATTATCAGACACCACCCAGGTATTAAAGGTATGACTATAGGCCCAGGCGAATATAAACTCTCTATGTTTGCAGATGACATTCTTCTGACATTAAGCGACGTAGAAACCTCCCTACCAACACTAATGCAGCTCTTAGATATGTATGGTAAAATAGCATATTATAAATTAAATCAAGCCAAAACCCAGGCTTTACCCATAGGCCTTCCACACACCGTGATCACAGAACTTTCTAGGAAATAAAAATTTGACTGGAGAGAAGACCACGTCATATACTTAGGGGTTAAAATAGCGCCCACAGTGGAACGTATGTTCAACTACAATTACAAACCACTACTTCTACTATGCAAATCAGAATGTACCCGATGGAAACCGGTAAAATTGTCGTGGTTAGGCAGAATCAACACCATTAAGATGATTCTACTCCCGAAACTACTGTATATATTCCGTCTACTACACATACCAGTTCCGCCCTCCTTCCTTAAAAAACTTCAACAGATAATATCCCTATACATATGGGACTCCCGCAAGCCCAGACTATCGCACCGCATTCTGCAACAATCCACAGCAGAAGGTGGAGTCGGCCTGCCGGACATACATGCCTACTATAAGGCAGCTATTCTAGAAGCAGCAGTAAAGCTGCATACTAACAAAGGAATTTACCAATGGGTGGACATGGAAGCCGCCCAATTAGGCACAACACCGCTGGTCGATCTCCTATGGACCCCCAAAATACATCGGCCCAAAGACAAAACCCCCTTCCCAACCACTTCCCTAACCATGCACCACTGGGACAAAATACGTCACAAACATAATGTTACACACAAATTCCACCCACGCACACCACTGACAGCGCTAAAAGCAATCTCACCTTGGCTCTCATTAAATTCATGGGTCAAAATGGGAATTACCACCATAGAACAAACTATGAATTGCAACCACATTAAACCCTTCCCAGACCTACAGCAGGAATTCAAACTCACCAACTCCTCGGTATTTCCTTACCTACAACTCAAGAGTGTACATACTTACATGTAACGCACGGACATATGCCCAACAAACCAGGTTCAAAAGAATTAGCAACATTATACGACAGATGCTGGCAAGCCCCAACTAAACCCAAATCTCTCTCTCTATGTTATCGGTTGATCCTAACCACTACTACACCAAGAGGCACCCCTACTTTTGTGACCCAATGGCTCATGGAGGGCGCAAATTCGATTACGGACACAGAGGTATTGGCATCCCCCCAGGCACTCAAAGGCCTCACACGATGTTACTCACACATAGAAGCCCACAAAAAGCTTGTCTATAGGTGGTACCTAACACCCCACAGACTCCACTCGATGTACAAAACAGTACCACCACACTGTTGGAGACGTGGCACTGAAAAAGGCACAATGTTCCATATCTGGTGGGCGTGTCAACGCATAAGACCCCTATGGGAGGTAGTTGTAGAGATTTATGGGGTCTATGGGTATGTGTGTGTCTACAGTCCATTGGTATCACGTCACCACCCATGGACATACACGCAGGGCTGTTCCTCTCCTATCCCCGCACAACTCCAAAATATGTACAACGCATAATGGCCATCACCGCCTTATCTGTGAGAAATCTGATCGCATGTCAGTGGAAACAATCCCACTGTCCCCCCAAAAACAATCTACTAAATAAAACCCACCAGTATTTCGTATATGAGAGCATGTCGTCCAAGACTGCTGCCCAACAAAAAACTTTCCATACAGACTGGGCACCATGGGTAGCCCTGTGGAATCAAGCAAATAGTAATAATAATACTCTATGCCAATCAGGAGCCCACCAAAGCTCAGGGACCAGCATAACCTCAAACATACTAAACCCCTCCACCTCGCACGAATAGTCACACGGACTCATGTCCCAACATCCATCTTGGTCACCGTAGGACTCGGCCAAACAGTGCTATGCACCATATCGTACCATGGTAAACACCCTCCCTGCCCCTGCTCCCCCATTGTTACTTCCCAGTTGGAGGATCTTAAATATTTGTACCTACAATACACCCTACTTGGACGTAAGAGGTTGACGGTCGTCCAGGTTAGGGCAGCAGAAAGAAAACTTTAAAACTTTAATGTGATGTATGACTTAATGTGCTGTATACGATGAATAAAAATGTACAATATCATGGTAGCACAGATGGTTTCCAACCTCAACTTTGTCACTGGATGACCCTATTGTGTATAAAGATGATATCGCTTGATGTACGAATTACGATCTCCCCCACCCCTCTCTTCCTTTCTGTACCCCATTTACTTTATGAAAATAAAAATTGTCAAATATAAAAAAAGTACCCCAGTGTTGGTGGGTCCTACGCTAAAATGTGGGGGACAAATCAAATAGTACTAGTGTTAAAAATAAAGTGTATTAAATGAAATCCTTGTAAGAGCAAAGTGAGTATACAAAAATAAAGTGATGAAAGCAATTAAAAACAGTGTTAAAACTAAACAATTAAAGTTTTAGTGCTAGAATGGATATACTCACTATTGCAGATGATATCTGTGTTGAATGGAGAAAATAATAAAAAAGTGACTTGACTATTGAAAACTCCTCCTATATATATACACACACCTGTGGCCACCTCTAAAGGGGCCTCTGAAGCTGGGGGGCCTGGGCGGGGTGCTTAACCCCAAAGGAATCAGGTCTGAATTCCAAATATACCGTGTACAGAGAAAGGATTGGGGGCACACCCGAGACCTGCATTTTGCATGAAAGCTGCTGCCGCAGTGACCAAACGTCATACGTGAAAAAGATAGTTGTGGCGCACTCAGACTACAAAAAATACAACACAAAGAAGGTTTCTAAATTGCCTATCTAAGAATAAATATGGGGATTTAGTTCCACCATATGGCCATATGATATAGATCTAATGTGATTTTTGTTATATTCAAGGGAGCCAAAATTGGTATTTCAGGTGCACTTGGAGGATCATGAATTCAGACACCAGACACCTGTTGGTAATCAAAATAAGCCTCTGTCGTTTATTTTTTTATTTTTCAGTATGTGTTTTTATACATTGAAAAGTGCAAATACTCATAGGACAGTAGTAGGAAGGGAGTAAAAGGGTTAAAGGAGTACAGATAAGACCAAGGGATGAACGTCATGTACATAGAACAGATATGTTCCGAGAAAGAGAAAGAACAGACTGAATTAGGAGAGACAACTCAGATGGGGGCTATCTGCTCCCGGAACTAGACATATATGGTCTTAAGTGTCATTTTAAGCATTAAGCATTTCCTGAGTCCAAGTTAGCCAATTTTAATATAGAATATCTAATATGACACCTATAAACTTGAACCTTGGAATCAAAGTAAATTCTTTCACAATCCCCTCTTTTGATCCAAGGGTCACTCAAATGTCCAAGGTATTTCCAGGCCTGCTAGCCAAAGCCTGTGGGTCTTTAATTTATTTGTTCACCACGGATTGAGAGAATCAGCTGAGGAAAGTTCCTTCATTTGTTAGGCGAGGTAACATCATAAAAACCTTCCAAAGTCGGAGCTGGAAGGTAAGTTAAGGTACGACCAACAGTAGATTTGTTTTTACATAGAGAGGTTAGACATGAGAAGAACTTAAAGGTTAAAAAAATGGCCATAATAACAAATACACCTTTTAGCAAAAAGTACAAGATTTTCTTAATTAGCAAAGTCAACCATGTTCCTAGCCCAAATGTCCAAACCCAATCCCCAAAGAAGCCAGTATCCTGTTTGATATCCTGTACTAAGTCATGGAAACCTTTTATATGTTTATGGATCATAGTGCCATGGTCAGATGGGTTAAAACAGCACATATCTTCAACAGCTTCACAGCCTAAGTCATGTTTCATTAGTAAGTAGTCAATTGCTGCTCTATTCTCAAGGATTGCCTTCTTATTTGCCTGGGTGTCCATAAGTAGCTCTTCTAGGGCCTGGGGAGTGACATTTAAACCGTTTGCAAGGGAACAGGCTACAGCATTAATTACTTGGGTATTATACAGTGCCAAGCCTGAGACTCCTACCATAGAGTATGCAAGGGAAGAGTATTCAGATTTAGATAAGAGAGTCATTTCAGGGTTACAATCTGAAGTAAGGGTATGTTTAACATCTCTCTTGTCTCTTTGTAGTTTGTGTAGCTGGGTGGTTTCAGAGATCAGGTCAGATTTGGAAAACATGGTAATGGTTAGGCGTGAGATTGCACAGGGACCTCCTGTAATGTTACCTGGGAAATAAGCATAAGTAATATTTCCACAGGGGAAAGTCCATTCTTTAGGGAGATAAACATGGTGGTGGTAACTCATAACGTGGTGAGTTTTGGTACATTTCATAGTGGTGCTCAGGGCTCTACAATATGTGGTATTTTTCCACCATGAATAAACAGGGATTTAGCATTACGGTCTCTTGAACAATTACATGAAAAAGACCAACATAGTTCAGCGGCTGTCACATTAATTGTCTTCAGGGCTAGGGGGGCTTGCCTACTAGTGGGTTGAAAGCATAAGAATGTAGTTGTAGAGATTTATGGGGTCTATGGGTATGTAGCTACTTTGTCAAGAGTGGTAGGGACAGCTATAAGACAAGATTGTATGGCGTTTTTAGTACTGAGGAGAGGGTTGAGGCAAAAGGAGGTTAAATTAAAAGTCTTTGCTATCTGCATCTATATATTTCCCTGTCATGCATTATTATCGTCTGTTCTCAAGTCAGAGTAGCATATCTGAACAGAACATACAATGGTAAAGGTTAAGAACAGCTTCATGTTGGTGGGTCAGTTGGAGTGACTTGTTTAGAGTTACTGGCGTGTATCCACGTGGCTTTTCCTTCCAGTTTTACTGTGGTAGCCATAGTCAGGAGCACTTGGAAGGGACCGTCAAAGAGTGGTTCAAGTCCTTTCCTTACATGCCTCTTTATCATCACCCAATCCCCAGGCTGCAGTTTGTGAGTTGCAGAATCAGAGTCTGGATCTGGAATGGAATCAAAGACTATATATATTTATATATATATATATATATATATATATATATATATATATATATTTATATATTTATTTGCCGGATTTTTTTAAACTTTGTCCCTTTTTTTTTCTTCTATAGTTTCTCCTTGCTGGTTTTATTTAAAAAGTTTTCCCTCTTTTTTTATTTTATTTTTTTTATCCTCTCTTGTTGTTTATATTCCCCTCCTTGTGGGTGCTACTGCTGTTGGGCTAATTAGGGGGAGTGCCCTTAATTTCCACCTGTGTGGGATTTGTGTTGCCAATATAAACCCACTACTGACTCACAGAGCTTGCTTGAAAGTAGTCTCTTTTAAGTAGGAGTTAAAAAAAATAGGAGTTTTTAAACTATACAGGAGTTTAAACCAAGAGGGTAAATACTGTTTTGCTCACTTGTGTTTTTGGTAACTGGGGATGAGTGCCAGCAAGATTGCAAGTTTTACTCAGTGTACATCCTGCTGCATGTATGCATGCCTGGATAAATCTGTCCAGGGTCCATACCTCTGTGGTGTGTGTGAGCGAGTGGCTTTTCTGGAAGCTCAGATTGGAGATCTGGAGAGGCAAATTGCAACACTGAGGGAGATTGACAATGTGTGTGTGTGTCTGTGTGTGTGGGTGTGTGGCTGAGTATGAGTGTGTGTCTGTGAGTGTATGTGTGTGTGTGTCTGTGAGTGTATATGAGTGTGTGTGTGTCTGTGTCTCTGTGTGTGTGAGTGTGTGTCTGAGTATGTGTGTGTGTGTCTGTGAGTGTATGTGTGTGTGTCTGTGATTGTGTGTCTTAGTATATGTGTGTGTCTGTGAGTGTGAGTGTGTTTGTGTGTGTATCTGTGTGTATGAGTGTATGTGTGTGTCTGTGAGTGTATGTCTGTGAGTGTATGTGTGTGTCTGAGTGTGTGTGTCTGAGTGTGTGTGTGTGCACCATATATACATACAATTGTATATTATTATTTTTTATTTTTTTGGGCGGGGGGCATGGATCTTTGGTGAGTTCCCACACTTTA